TTGGACTAGTTGTGCTTTCTTTTTGGATGCTCTGTAGCCACAGTCTTGTAATATTTGAAGCAGTCTTGCTGTGTTTTCAAAACAATCCTCCCTGTTTTGTCCAGTTATTAGAACATCATCCACATATTGAAGACAACAGTCCTCTTGTCTGACTAACTTTAAAAATGCTAGATCTTGGGCTAAAGCTTGACCAAAACATGTGGGTGAATTTTTAAAGCCTTGTGGTAGCCTAGTCCAGGTATATTGAGTCCTAACTTGTGTTTTAGGATTAGTCCATTCAAATGCAAAAATCTGCTGACAATTTTCGTGTAATGGTATTGTGAAAAATGCGTCTTTTAAGTCTACAACGGAGAACCATTTAGCAGTTGCAGGTATTGTGCTTAAAAGAATATATGGATTAGGAACAGTTGCATGTAGGGTCAAGGTCAGTTTATTGACGGGGTGCAAATCTTGTGCTAGTCTCCACTGTCCGTCTGGCTTACTAACAGGTAGAATTGTAGTATTCCAGGGTGACTGAATTTTTTTAATGATTTTTGCCATCAAGTATTTTTGTATTAATTCCTGAATGGCCATAGCAGCCTCTGAAGTACAATATCTTTGAGGCACTCTAATAGGATATGCTTTTGGTTTTAGTTCTATCATAACAGGCGTGGCATATTTTGCAAATCCACGGGGGTTATCCTCTGCCCATAGAAGTGGAACATTAAATTGCTGCCAGGTAGAGCTTTCTGATTGTTCCTCAGTTACTAACATGATGCGCCATGTTTCTTCCACTGGGTGGCGCACTTGGATTAATTGTTTGTCAAAGGTAATTGTGGCCCTCATTTTGGTTAATAAGTCTCTTCCCAATAATGGAAGTGGGCATTCTGGAACATATAGGAACTGATGTTTAATAATTCCTTGTCCCACTTGGCATGTTAGGGGTTCCAGTAGTGGTCTATATTGAATTTCCCCTGACACACCTTGAATTTGGATGGTCTGGTTTGATGGTTTGCCAATAAATTTATTTAGGACAGATCTGGTAGCTCCCGTATCAACTAGCATCGGGACAGTCTGTCCTCCCACCTGTATTTTAACAATGGGCTCTGGGGGTGGGACCATAGAACCCTGTTCCCTTCAGTCTCCCCATTCCATGTCAGCTAAGCCAATCAAGTTTTCTTCTCTGTGTTCTACCTGATTGGGATAGGCTGGACGTCCTCGTCCTCTGAAGCTTCCCCTGAAACTTCTTTGGAAATTCCCTCTAAATCTTTTTCCTCATCCCCTTGCATACTGGTGAGATTGCCCTCTCGGTTGGCCACTCCTCTGGGGGCACTCCCTTTGCCAGTGGCCCTCCTGTTTACAGATTGCACATTGGTTTGGTCTGATTTGCATTTCTCCTAAGGCTATTGCTAAAATTTCTACTTTTTTCTTCTCCTTCTGATCTGATTTACGTTCTTCCTCCCTGTCATGATTATGGAAAACCTTTTGAGCAATTTCCATAATCTCTGCAATATTTTTCCCTAAAGCCCCCTCTGTGCGTTGTAACTTTTTCTTTATGTCTGGGGCACTTTGGGTAATAAATCTTTCAATTAGGAGTGGGCGGTTTTGTGCCAACTCCATATCAAGTCCAGTATTTATTTTATAAGCTTCTATCAGTCGGCTGAGAAAAGCAGTTGGTGTTTCATTTTTTTCTTGCCAAATACTAGTTACTGCTGCATAATTAACTGGACGGATAGCGGCTTCCCTCAGAACTTCTAAGCATAGGAGCCTATAATTTTGTAATAATGTTTGATGCTGTAAATTGTTTGCCTGCCAGCTTGGCCTCTGTTCACAGGCTGCATTTTCTCTGTCTGCTTGATAAGTAGCTCCTCCCTCTGGGTGTCTTCTGGCTAATACTTTTAATTTAGCCAACTTATATTTCTCCCTTCCATCCATATCTAGTAAGGTAGAAATAAGTTGCTGCATATCATCCCATGTGGGATTATGCGTCGGAATGGTGCCCAACGTGTTTATTTCTGGTTCGGCTAGAAACTGGTGTTTCTCTTTCATCTCTATCCAAGTCCTGTGTTTGCTTTTGAGCATTCTGTTCTGTTTTTATCTCTCCCTCCGCTCCGCCTTCTGGTTTAAGGTGGACTTCATCCCTTTCAGCCAGAGGAGCCTCTAAGGGGGGGGTGTTGCTGATAAATTCCCCCTTCTTCTCTTCTAGGAACATAGGGAGGGGGTCTGGCAAGTTCCTCCCTTTCTTCCTGGCTCAGAATCTTAGGTTTTGTTTGAGGTTTTGCTTTTTGGGTTGCCAAATATATCTTTGCATATTCAATTTGACACTTAGCTAACCATCTAGGCTTTTCTGTAATATTAATCTGCCATTGGTCTATGTAGGGATATTGGTCCCAATGACCCTTTCCAGTCACAATTTGATGAACCCGTGCCACGAGTTCGGGATGCGCCGATACCTCTTTGGGCCACCTTACGCCAAAGGTGGTCCATTCAGATTCACATATTTTTTTTAATATGGCTGGATTTGGTCTTGGGTTTCCATAATCCCTATTAAACCCTTTTTTAAAGTTTGCCAACATACACTGGAGTGGCGTCTGACCAATGCCCTCCTTAGTTTGTTTTCCTCCCATTCTACCTTAAAACACTACCATCGACCTGGAGCCCCGGAATTTCCAATGGCCGCTCAGCAGGAAATGCGATGGTTTAGCCTCCCACACAATCCTACCTATTGAAGACTTAAGGACGATGCCTCTGTCTTCCAAGGGATTGATCAATTCCCTCTTCTGATCCAAATGGGATCAGGTATCCCTTTTTATAATACTTGCCTGCAGGCGTTCCAGACCCTCCTGTGGATTAAAAGACCTGTCTGCTCCCCTCAGTGGATCCTTGACTGGAATGCTTTGCTGGTGGTAAATTCCCTCTCTTCCTGTTGAGGTCCCCCCGTAGTCAAAGGCCACGGAGCCAGCTTGGAGATATCGCCGATAGGAGAGGGTTTTCCCCCAGGGAAGTCTGTCTGGCAGGACAATGGCCTCTTCATAAGAGTCCCATCTGGAGGTGCCAAATTTCTTGTGGAAAACGAAAGAACTCTTATGAATTCCAGAGGGGTTTAGCAGAGAGGTTTATTGCGCAAGGTTCAGAGGCATATTAGAGATAGGCAATTCTGAACAAGGAGGGCGGGATTAGACTTCAGTTTTTATACTTCCCTTCTTTCAGGAACAAAGGGACTACACATGATAATACACTGTAATACATTTGGTTCGTTTCTCACGGGCATACAATGGAAGGTTTTG